GGAAAAGAGCAGATGCGGATCAAATGGTTTTCAATGCATTCCTATGGGAAATGCAGATTTGACCTGAGAACTTTTTGACTTGAGAACCGCCTTCCAATCCGGATTAAGTTCTCAAGTCAAGACCCCACTGTAATAATTATGTGTTCAACCCTTGCTACGGTTTCCTAGGTATAAGTGCTCAGAAGTGGTTTACAATTCCCTGTTGGCACTCTTGAGACTCTGCTTTGCCCAGAACTACACAGGCTGGCTCTTCACATGGAGGCACAATGAGGAATAAAACTCCTGTACTCCAACCCAATGAACTATTCAACCAGCTAGTTAGAGTTCTCATGTATCCAATAGGTAACAGTTGTAGCTTTTTTTTTTAAAAAAGCAAATCCTTACTTTTCCATTTGTCTGATATATACCTAAAATTGATATTTTCAGTTGTTTTTTAAACTGAATGCCAGAAGTCACTAGACCAGTGATGGTGAACCTATGGCACACATGCAACAGTTGGCACACAGAGCTGTAAGTCGCCATAGAGAAATACTTACCCGTCCTCCGATCCTGGATTTCGGCATTCCCCTCTGCTGGTGCAGTGGTCTAGCGGAGGGGTGCAATGGCAACCATTACCAGTCTAGTGCAATGGGGGATTGGAGGACCAGTAAGTATTTATTTGTTAATACCCCCCACTTTTTTTGGGGGGGGGGGAAACAAGCATTTAACTCTTGCAGTACAGGAGCAGTTGTTTTTTTCTAAACAAAACTTCAGCATTCAGGTTTTAATCGCAGTATTGGCACTTTGAAATAAATAAGTTGATTTTGTGTTGCAGTTTGGGCACTCAGGCTCAAAAAAAGTTCACCATCACTGCATTAGGCACTCAGAGGCAGCCACTGCCCTCAAGCAGCAGATTTTGCAGTACCAGTGTATTTTTGCTATCTATCCATGGCATGGATCCATGTGAATTTTAAGGTACGCTCATCTCTAAATTATTGCCCATCTCCATTTCCTTGGTTGTGGCACTGGTGTGAGAAGTTGGACTGGAAGCTTTTTTGAAGTGGAATATTTTCTCCCAACTGGTATTCTGCAAGGAGCTGTCCAGGAAGTGCTCATGGTGTTGATGAGGCTTGCCAGGTCTCAGAGAATGAGCTGCTGTGCCAGGAAATGGCTGGGCTCCCCTGAATCTCCAGGCCAGGCAAACAAATGTGAGGAGCAGTGGTGGAAGGGAAGGAGCAAGTCTCATTTATTGTTACGGGGTGGCCATAGTGTTTGGGTACCCAACTCCAACCGTCTCTGAATGGCACCAGGGCTGACTGGCTTCCTGTGTCTGTCCAACATGACACATAATATACTTGCTTAGGAGCTCAGACAGGGAACCCACAATGCCTAGTTCACTCCCTCACACATGCATGGAGAAATATTATGTTCCCAATTCCTGTGACATCACAAGGCCCCAAACCATGACTTCACAAAGACCCACCCCAGGCATTGGACCCCAGATATAATGAGGGGATGGGGAAGATAATCCCATGACAGCCCCTGACAAACAAGACAGCGCTTCAAAATCATTCCTGAAAATTCTTTTATTGGTTTTGGAAAAGAGGCTAAATGGGTATACTCAGTGGAGACAACAATCTGGTTCAGCTCCAGCAGGACCCCTGCTTCTGGTCTCTCGCATCCCCCTGGGATAGATGACGCTTCAGGCCCTATGAGAGAGAGAGAGAGAGAACAACAACTAAGGGGCGAGCTCGTCCACTGCCGTCAACCGGCTTAAACTTGGGTGTATCCACTGACCAATGTTCTGGCAACTTCTTCCCGAAGTTCTGCCTGCCAACATCCACTGGCTTCCACCAGGAATATCCACCTGTTCATCTCTTCCACTCGACTTCTGAAGCCAGCCTCTGCCAGCTCCCGAATGCTTGGGTCACACACACGCCCAGGTGACATCCCCATGGAACGCCAACCAGCCCATTCTCTCTCTCTCTCTCTCACACACACATACACACACACACACACACACAGTTTGGGCACTCGGGCTCAAAAAGGTTCACCATCACTGCACTAGCCTGTGATTCAACTAATGTGTGCTCCCATCTATTAACATAATTGCAGCAAGAAACAGTGTGAGCCACAGCATGAGTAATCTCTTTAACCTTGCAATGTTCCTCCCCTACTATTCAGGCAGCCCTCACTCCTCTAAATATCTCAGCAGTTTACAAATTGCATAGTACAGTGGTGCCTCGACTTACAAACTTAATCCATTCCAGAAAATGGTCGTAACCCGAATTGGTTGTAAGTCAAAGCACCAAAAAAGCCCAAACAAACACTGCAAGCCCCATCGGAATGCGCTGGGGCTGGGGGGAAAATCACCAAAAAACAAAAAAAGATCACAGCACAGAAACATAACCCCCCCAGCCCAAACCCACACTGCAAAACCCTGTATACACTCACCCAGAAGCAGAAAGCAGCACCAGGCAGTCCGAAGCCTCTCTGCAAACGCACACACTCTAACCATTGGGATGAAAGAGCTACAAAGAAGGAGCCTCTTTGCCGACCAACGGCTAGCATTTTGAATTCCTCGCCTTTTTGCCTACCTTTTTCCGATCATAATTCAAAGCTTCGGTTGCAAGTCAATGCAAAATTTTGCGGCCGGAGCTGGTCGTAACTCGAATTGGTCATAAGTCAGGACGGCTATAAGTTGTGGTACCACTGTAAAAAGAATGAAGTTTTTCCTTACTAAGTTACAATCATACTGTAAGTTAGTTATGCCTCACTTATTGCAAAAAAGAAGGAAAAAGAAAAGAAAAGAGGGATTCTTATTATTTCCAGGATCTGATCAGAATAAATGTTATGGACCAGACTAACACAATTGGCTTTTCATGTCAAGGAGAAATGAATGTAGTGAGAGTACTAAAATGGGCATACAGTACATACTTATTGTATTCAATGTGAATGTAGAACTAAGACATTTTTAATGTGGGAACTGTCAATGTATGAGGGGCTGAAACACAATCTCCCCAGTCCTCTGTCATCATTTCTGTTGCCATTCACATGCGAAGGATGATTTTCTGTCATTCATCTGCAACAGAATCTTGTCACTTTAGATTCAAGAGGACATTTCCAGATGGAGTTCATAAGCAAATAGCATTGCACAATTCTCCTGTCTTTTTTTCCTTAATGGATTTTCCACTGATTTTCCAGAGGTGGAACACTGAGGGAGAGTTACGAACAAGGTCTAGAGTTCTCATTAAGTTGAATGATTTAGTCTGATAATGGCATGATAAAAGCTTCACTTGAAATCACTCAGACTTTTCCAGGGTGACAGTAGTCTATGGACTGATCTGTTTTAAGATGGAGTTTACCTGTTTAGATGTAATTTGACTGGCAATTAGACTTTGCAAAAATGATTTGTTCAAAAGGTTTTCTCCCCTTTTAATATATCATAATAACTCCATATTACCTTCTATGCATTATCTTGAAGATGCTACAGACAGGTTGACTTTCAAAGAATGTACCGTATTTTTCGCACCATAAGACGCACTTTTTTCCCCACAAAACAGGGGGAAGATGCTACAGACAGGTTGACTTTCAAAGAATGTATTTTGGCATGTTTGAAATATGATGTGTGCAATCAGATCTGTCATTTCATAGCATACCCGAAGCATTTTAATTTTATGATGGGCTTTTGAACTTACATCTTTTCAAAGGAATAATGGCTTTTGACTGACAAATGCTTTTTTAAATGTTGAAAAATGGCGGGGGCCATACATGGGGTCATAGTATGACAAAATACTTTGCATCAGAATTCTCTATTTTGATCTGCTTTTTTTGTAGCCCAAGAAATTTTGCATTGATCACAGTATTATGAAATAGATTATAATATCTATGCTCTAAATATGCTGTGGAGTGCACAGTTTGATGCATGAGTTCTATATTCATAACTGTGATTAGTCACAGGTGTGCCATAAAATGCCTTAAAATGTTTTAATTGGACCAGTAATGACATTTTTACAAGACTTTACTATTTAAACATTAATGATGAAAGAATGAACTCACATAGAGAGGTTTGTGATTCATAGGCTGAAATCCTGTTGCTTAGCATAGTAATTTATACCAAGGTAGGCCCATTGACTCATTGCGGATCTGGTGGGTCCTTTGTAGTTCCATTTATTCAAAAGGGCCTACTCTAGTTATGACTTATTTTAGCACAGTAAGTCTCAAGTAGAGTAGGCCCATTTGAATCAATGGAACATACAAAAGAGTGGACTCACTAAATCCCCACTGGTTCAATGGGGCGACTGTAGTGTGACTTATTAGTAGAGATGGGGGTATTTGTACAGTGGTGCCTCGCATAGCGAGGTTAATCCGTTCCGGATTAACCTTCGCTATAGCGAAACATCTCTGAATGGATCAAAAAAACCCATTGGAATGCATTAAACATCGTTTAATGCGTTCCAAATGGGCCGAAAACTCCCCGTTCAGCGATGCTACCTATGTCCGGCAGCCATTTTCGCGCCCTCGTTAAGCAAGGGGAGGGCGCGAAAACGCTGCCCGCGGCCATTTCGGGGCTTCCGGCGGCCATTTTGTCCGCCTAACAGCTGATCATTGGGGCTTCGTTTTGCGAAGATCGGTAAGCGAAACGCTTGCCAATCTTCGCAAAGCGAGTTTTGCCCTATCTAAACAACGTTGAGCGATCGCATTAGCGATCCCAAAAAAGGGATTGCTATGCGATTTCGTCGTTGTATGGTGCGCTCGTTAAGCGAGGCACCACTGTATTTGTATATGAATATGAATACCCCTACACAGCTGGACTTAACAAGGGTCCAGTCCCTGGGGCCAGACCGGCCACTCACGCGTCTGGCAGTGGCGGCAGCCTTGGTCAGCCTTCCAATCACTCCGAGACCGCTACTCTCTTTCCGCTCATCTAGCCAACTCCATCAGGGGGAGGGAGGATGAGTTTCCCTGCACAGATGCTGAATGGCTGGATGAGCGGTAAGAGAGCAGTGCTTTGGGAGCAACTGGAAGGCTGACCAAGGCTGCCACCATGTCCAGAAACATGAATGGATGGGGCCAGATCCTAATTGTGTCCCCCTGGGGCTGGACCCTTGTTATGTCCAGCTGGGGGAGGTATTTGTATTTGTATATGAATAAGAATACCCCCATCTCTGCTTACGAGGCTAATGAACAGGATTTCAGCCATTGATGTATAAGAGATTCCTTAGATTTCAGCATATCTGAGCATTTAGGGGGAAAGCATATTTTAGCTCTTATTTTTAAAATAATCAGTTAGCTCAGAAGCAAATTTAAAAGAAGATACAGTAGGTCCATTTAAAATAAGAAATACCTTGCTAGCAGCGATGAAGATATTAATTTTTTTAAAAAAGAACACAATATTCCTTTAAAGATTTTACAATCTCTTCTTTTAAAGCAAGGACAGTAGTCATTCCATAAGGAAATTTAATGAAGGCTGGTTCTTCAGCATCTACATCTGATCCTAGAATATTGGCAGAAGCAGTTACAGCAATGAAAGCATTGGCTGTTTTGTTTGCAAGGCATATATATTTGATGATGTGGATTCTGCTTCATGAAATTTTATCCCTAAATAAATCTATGCATCTTTTAAAAGATAACATTGAAAATTCTATTAAATTGCTATACAGGACAGAATTCTATTCTACTGCAAACATCTTAGTAAACAGACTGGCATATGTTTACTAGCATTCTGCAATAGTAATAGATGTCAGTAGATGAATTGAGTAGATGTGAACAGAAAATTCTCTTTGCCTCAAACATGCAGGACACATGATTCATGTGTGGTATACAGTTGAACATTCTACAGAGAGGGACAGAAGTGGTGAGGCTGCCTTTACACTGCAAGCAATGAAGCAACGCTGTGCTTTATGAGTTTTCATTTCCTCCCATCATTCTCACAGATAAAGAAGATATTGTATGCTAAGAGGAAGTGTGGGTAGAGCCCATTAGGTCATGCAGATATGAAGTACAGTACTGTAAGAACTTACTGGGAGTTGAACTGGGAACTGCTTCATGTCTGCATATTTGTCCTCTGTAGTGAGCTGTAAGTGTTGCCTTCAGCACTTGCCTGTGTAGTTCTGTGAGGGCAGTAATATATATTACAGAGAATTCATCATTAGAAGTTAAAATCTGTTAGTGTTCTAGAGATATGATTCTGGTAGACCTTCATGAGAAAACAATAACAATTATTCCAAATGATCATTGTGTTTAGCTCCCTAGTCACAAAAGAAGCAAGCAAATGTACAAAACACATGAGACATGAAAATCTCCTGCTGTTACTATCAGATGTTTTCAGCACTTAAGAAATTATCTCATGATAAAAAACTCCCCTGGACTGTAAGGAGATCAAACCTATCTGTTCTAATGGAAATCAACTTTGAGTGCTCACTGGAAGGACAGATCCTGAAGCTGAGGCTCCAATACTTTGGCCATCTCATGAGAAGAGAAGACTCCCTGGAAAAGACCGTGATGTTGGGAAAGTGTGAGGGCAAGAGGAGAAGGGGACGACAGTGGATGATATGGTCGGACAGTGTCATTGAAGCTACACTGATGAATTTGACCCAACTCCGGGAGGCAGTGGAAGACAGGAGGGCCTGGTGTGCTCTAGTCAATGAGGTCACAAAGAGTCGGACACGACTTAACAACTAAACAACAACAATGATAAAATACCTGTAGCACATGGTTTAGCCCTGAATCCCCTGTCTATTTTTTAAAAAGTCTTTCTGGTTCTGATGTGCTCCTATGAACTCTTTACTTTGGCTTTGATCCTGATCTTTGGCTTAGCAGTTTAGTCTTCTTGGCTTGCTGTTTAATCCACATGGCCCATGACTTCACCCATTGATCAGTTTTTAGGCTTTTTCTTCAGTGCTTGTGTCTATTTTGCCATTTGGTTCTGATTTCTGCTTGGTCATTGGTTGGTATCTCATTGATACCTCAGCTCTGTGAGTGCTGATCTCTGACTGTCCATTTTGTTTACTGGGTTAGGCCTCTTGCTTTCCAGCTCTTGACATGTTTTAAGTAGTTGTCTATGTCTTAGCTCTGAGGGGTGGGTTCATGAGCCTTCTATCTCTGTACTCCATACATTCTGCGTAGGCTGGATGTAGTGTGGTAATAATATGAAGGAGAGGAGGAAAATCCTTCAAATGTTGGATATTTCTCAACATTTCATTACATGCTGTATAACTGCAGGAAAAAGATAGAGACAACAATATAGCAATTTTGATAAAAGCAGCAAAAGGGAATACCAAGGATTTTGTTAATCCCCTTTGGGAAGTTCTTCAGAAGCTGGATTTCAAAATTCTGGTTTATATCAAGGAAACAGAAGATACCAAGTCTGCACAAGGAAAATAAAGAGAGACCAAGCTTTTTGCATGATGTCATTTTGCCATTTGCCAAAATGGGGTGCAAAATAGCAAAGGGCCTTTCAAAAACAGCCTTTTTGTACTGTAAAGAAAAGGCCAAAAGCAATAAGGAACAGTGAACTTAGTGTTCTTATCCAAAAACTAAATTCAAACAATCCATTGCAGATTTGAATGATTAAATTTTTCTAGACATATTTTTCTCAGGGACATGATTCAATAAAAATCTGAAGCATAAAGGACCACTATAAATGTACTGTCGTGTGCATCAAATTGTTATTGAACAATGTCCGTTAAAAAAAAGCTGCATAGAACAATGAAAACATTTAAATTGGCAATACATAATCATTGCAAATGCTATTTTCTAGAGTTAGTAATTTTTTCAACAGTTGCTAAGCAAAAATCTGTGACATTTTCTACTTTGGTTAAAAATGGCAGACTCAGCAGCAAAATATTTGTGTATCAGACCCTAGCACTAGCAGTTGGAGTTTTTTGGCATTTGCACAATGAGGTATTTCATACTTTCTTGTGCACATGGAAGCTTTGTTTGTTCAAGTAGGCAATCTCTTCCTGCACAAAGGCAAGCTGGGTGAATGAACAGAACTAGCATGTTGACTGTTAATGAAGCATTTCACTTCATTAACAGTGAACAGGATTCTGGCTCTTGTGTAAATCAACATAATTTTCAGACAACACTTTACTTCTCGAATTAAACTCCAAACCTATGCTTGCTGTCAGGGCTTGGCATGGTTGGCACTGACTAGAAAACATTATCTAGAAAAGACATCAGAAACTACTGGTGGTTATGTTCTGATTACTACCACTCTTCTGACCAGTTAGTTCTTTCTTTTGATGCGTAATTCCTCCCGTTATTTCCCTGTACCCATGTGGAAAAGGCAAAGAGCAGTAGTAGCTGCTGTTGCTCCTGTCACTTCACAACAAAAGAACCATCACACTAGATCAGACCAAAGGCTTGCCTAGCTTAGCCTTCTGTCCATGCAATGGCCAACCAGTTACCCATGGGAAGCCCACCAGCAGGAAATTCTGAAACACATGTATGTAATTACCTGTGGAAGGCCGGGGCCCAAGGCAGGTATGCTTTATATTTGAACCATTTCCTTTGTTAAAAAACCATTTTTTAAAAACACTTCAGGAATCTGAAGAGATGGTTACAGCAGAAGCACCACACAGGACTCTAAAGCAAAATTCTGCAGCTAGAAATAAGAGCCAAACCATTGTTTAAAAAGCCCTCTTTGAATCCCACATTACTGAATAATTACCAGCCAGTATCTAATATCCCTTTCTCAGGGAAGGTGCTAGAGCAGGTTGTGGCCTCTCATCTCCAGAGGTTTCTAGATGAGACAGATTGTCCAGATCTATTTCAATCTGGCTTCAGGCCTGGTTATGGGACAGAGACAGCTTTGGTCGCCTTGGTAGATGACCTATGCTGGGAACTGGATAGGGGATCTGATTGATTGATTGGTTGGTTGGTTGGTTGGTTGGTTGGTTGGTTGGTTTTTATACTGCCCATCTGGCTGCTAAGGCTACTCTGGGCAGTTTACAAATTCCATCATTATAAAACAACAATACAAAGAATAACTGATTAACAACTTAAAACAAAATGCAACACTATTGATAATAAAACAATAATAATAATGATAAAATCTGTGTTCCTGTTGATTTTGCTGGACCTCTCAGTGGAATTCAGTGCTATAACCTGTATCACTTGAATGGGACTTGGAGGCATTGTTTTATGGCGACTTCAGTCCTACTTGGAGGAGAAAACTCAGGTGGTAGTGCTGGGGGAGTCATGTTCAACAACCTGGCTGCTGACCTGTGGGGTCCTCTAGGGTTCTGATTTGTCTCCTATGTTATTAAACACCTACACAAAACCATTGGGAAAGATTATCTAGGGTTTTGGGATTTGATATCATCAGTATATGGATGACACCCAACCAAGGGTTTTGCCAAGTTGCCTGCACATTCGCATGCGCTTGACTCCGCTTTCCTCCACGTAACTGTCTTCCTCCTCTGTTCATCAATCATGTTATGTTCCAGTTGCAACGGAATCCAACATGTGGGGGGCGGGTGGAGACGTGCACGCACACAGGGGTGGAGTTGCGTGCATGAGAGGCAGATACCTGCCCAGCCAGGGTGAAAATTAGAGAGTATGTTGCACCCAATTCTACCTCTCCTTGTCCAAGGAAGCTGCTTCGGTTCTAGATCAGTGTTCAGTATCAATAATGGACTGGATGAGGGTGAATAAACTGAAACTAAATCCTGACAAGACAGAAGTGCTCCTGATCCGTCAAAAGGCAGATTAAGAAATAGAGATGCAGTGGGCACTGGATGGAGTTACACTCCCATTGAAAAAACAGGTGTGCAGCTCCTGGATTCTTCCCTGAGCCTGCATGCACAGGTATCAGCGGTGGTCAGGAGTGCATTTGGCAATTAAGACTAGTGCACCAGTGCTTAAGAGGTCTGAAAATTAGGTAAATACAACCTCAGATTAACAACACATTTCATATCATGTCATATTGTGTCATTGCTTATTTTACAAAAAATAAAGCCAAAATGAAAAAGCTGTGTGTGAAAAACTAAGTACACCTTATGATTCAATAGCTTGTAGAACCACTTTTAGCAACAATAACATGAAGTAATAATTTTCTGTTTGATTTTATCAGACTTTCACATCACTGTGGAAGAATTTTGGCCCACTCTTCTTTACAACATTGCATCAGTTCACTGAGGTTTGCAGGCATTTGTATATTCAGAGTTCGCTTAAGGTTCCTTCACGGCATTTCAATTGGATTGGGTCTTGACTTTGACTGGCCCATTGCAACACCTTGATTCTTTTCTTTTCCAGCATTCTGTTGTAGATTTGCTGGTTTGCTGAAATCATTATTCTGTTATTATTTTGCAATTTCTCTGAGCATTGCATGGTCTGAGCTTGGGGTGAGCTTGAGGTGAATTTGCTTGGGCATCCACTTCTGGGAAGACTGGCAACTACCTTGAATATTTTCCACTTGTGAAATCTTCCTCAGTGTAGAATGATGGACTTTAAATTGTTTGGAAATGGCCTTGTAACCCTTCCCCGACTGATGGGCAGCAACAATTGCTTCTCTACGTTCATTGCTGATGTGTTTTCTCCTTGGCATTGTGTTAACACACATCTGAATGCTTTAGACCAGCAAACTGCTAAAACTTAACCTTTATAGAGGTGGTCACACTTGCTGATTATCAATTAATCAAGGGCATTTGGTTAACAGTGCCTGTCTGCTATTTAGCCTTTTAATTCCTACTTAGCCTTTTAATTTCTATGCTTGCTTCTTTGCTTTGCGAAAGTTAAGAATATGAATACAAAAACAATTAATAAATTCTTGATTTGTGGAATTAAGGCAATGGTGAGAGAATAGTTTCCTAGCCTATAATAAAATGAGACCTCTGTGAACATTGTCACCAAGCATGGAGGATATAGGTTAGTACAGATATTTCTTTAGTCAGCAAGAACTTCATTATTGGAAAGAAAAACCCACAGTGAACCCCTACCATGTTGTGCCACTCATTGTAGACTATCACTTGATAATTATCTTGGGGCAATTAATTTTTCTGTGTTCTCTTTTTCTTTTTGCAGACTTCTATCACAACAGGCATCAACAAATAACATTTAGGAAAACAGTACATAGATCTTTCAATTCAGTGCAGCTAAGCAGGAGTGGGAATGTGACATGAGCTGATTTGTTATGGGTCACTCAGGGTTAGGGCATGTGGAGTTAATTAACTTGTCCCTTCCCCTCTCCATCAATAATTCTAGCATTGATTTCTGTTTAATAAAAATTGTTTGCAGTGGTGAAAATAGAGTCTTTGCTTGTTTCTAAGTTCAGAGACTATTTAAAGAGAAAAATAGTTACATCATATTCCTGAAATAAATACTTTCCTTCCTACAATACAATCAAGTTATTTTAAGTCCTCTGATATTTACTTTACAAAGAAAAGGCAAAATAGTCAAAGTAGTGAGGTATTTGTGTCAGTGACAAAAGGTATACTTTTCTCCCAGCTGAATGATGCTTCTAACTTTCCCAGACTGATGTGAGGAAAATTATAAAACAATTCCTCTGTGATTGGACCAAACCATTATTCAGAGACAACCAGCTTGTAAAATAGCAGGTGAACTCTATAGGATGTATTCTTGTCCATGCCAGTGAGCAAACTGATAGAATGAGTCTCCGTTTCTATTTATAACAGCATAGTCAGTACTGCGCCCACTGCTGAAACATGCCTGGAAGAAAAAGACAGAACAAAACAAAAGATTTAAAATGGCAACATAATTTTTCATCATTTGTCATAGCAGAAGTGAGTATAAATGGGAGGCATAACGATACAACAAAAATACTTATGGTTTGTTCATACTATACTTGTTTTGTTTGTTTATCAATCATATACATTATTAAAAATCAGACATCATAGACTGTGGCTTTCAGATAACACCTTTTCAAAGAAGCACTGGATGTGATGTGCCTATCTGATGAGGTATTTTATGAAAAGGTTGCTATGATACTATGGGAACACAGATGGTAATAATCAAAGTCTCACGACAGAGGATTATTGGTTTTGTGTCTATGTGCTTCCAGAACAGAAAGCAGTTTGGGAAAAGAACTGTGGTGTAGGGCTTACTTTTGTTTTGGAAAAAGAGTTTTGCACATTTTAATTTATTTAAATTCCACACGAAAAACCAATATTACCAGAGGCAAAAGTTGACCAACAGATAGGTTGTACACATAGAGGGAGGCAAAAGCTATATTTTTCTGCTTCTGTGAAAAACAAAAGCAACACTACTTGTCTGTTTAAAGCCTAATACAATTTCTCACAATCAAGCAGACAAACATCTTTTAATTGGTCTTAAAGTATACCCTTATGATATAGAAGGAAGAATTATTACATACCCAGAGGTCTGGAAAACATTGTGTAAACTGTCCTAAGTTCATTCTTAAGAAAATGGCTGGTTAGGAGCAAATGTGTAAACTCTAGTCTCAGGCCTCAGAGTAGGGAGGAGTTAGATATACATGCATGTAGGAATGCATATCATGTTAGCTGAACCCTGGTGGTGTATGGCCATCAACTATGTGGAAACAAGGCCAGCTGATGTCACTCCATTGCTTCCTCAGATCAAGTTTTGGTGCTGAAGGGTTCCACTGGCAGTAGAAACTGCAACTGTTAAAATTCCCCTTCTCATCAGCTCTTGAATATGGTAATCTGAATTTGCATGGAATAATACAATTCATAGTGAGGCAATTATAATCAAGAACAATACTCAGAAGCTTTTGAGTTTCTCTAGAACACTCCATGGTTAGTCCTAAAAAGAATACTGTTTAACTCTGGATTGTGTTGGTTGTCCTACTTGTGAGAAGGCAGTTTTTCTGTGTCACTGAGTTCAACTGAGAGATTTCACCTTGACTGGAACTACCAGAACTTAAGGAGAAATTGACAGAAAGATCAAAGTCACACACAGGAAGAGGAATTTATTTACATTTCTGCTGCTCTTCCCCCCTTTATTTATTTAGAACATTTCTACTTTATCCCCAAGTAGAGTAAGGGAGGCTACAAACAATAAGAGTTGTCAGTCTTGTGAGAATAATTAAAACAAGAAGACTGAGAGTGGAAGTTACATTAAATCAAATTTCAGCAGAATAAAAGAAAACTAGCAAAATTTTAAAATATTGAAGGTCTCAAAGGCTTTCTAAGAAGGAGGGCAAGGTTCTGGCCGAAAGGAAGGAAGTCCCTTGCCAGGAAACACAATAAGTGTCTCTTCATAGAGAGTTCCATAGCCTTTACTTAGGCCAAATGACATATAATTTGTGGATGTGTAAGAGGATCTCTTACACAAAGAGGATTTGTGGTGCTGGAGGAGGCTCTTGAGAGTCCCCTGGACTGCAAGGAGAACAGACGTATCCATTCTGAAGAAAATCAACCCTGACTGCTCACTGGAAGGAGAGATCCTGAAGCTGAGGTTCCAATACTTTGGCCATCTCATGAGAAGAGAAGACTCCCTGGAAAAGACCCTGATGTTGGGAAAGTGTGAGGGCAAGAGGAGAAGGGGACGACAGAGGATGAGATGGTTGGACAGTGTCATTGAAGCTACCAACATGAATTTGACCCAACTTGGGGAGGCAGTGGAAGACAGGAGGGCCTGGTGTGCTCTGGTCCGTGGGGTCACGAAGAGTCGGACACGACTAAATGACTAAACAACAACAAGAGGATCTTAAATCAGAGTTTTCAGTGCTCAGTGTACAAGCATAGTGTTCTCTCAGATATCCTAGTACATGATTTTAAAGCTAATTGGTGTTACTTTGAATTAAGCCCAGACACAAATCTGAAGCCAGTATAATTCTTTTAACTAAACAATCCCCCTCGCTGGGTATCTTTAAGAATCAATTAAAAACATGGCTGTTTAGGCAGGCCTTTCCATCAGATAATCCCTGACGCTCCTGACACCCTTTCTGTCTCTTATCGTTCCTTTCACTTTGTGTAATGTTTTATTATTAATAATTGTTTATATATTAATTTAACAACAACAACAACAACAACAACAACAACAACAACAACAAGTTACATATTGGAACAGTGTCAATTCTGGGCACATGGGTGAGGTCGAAGTAAAGTAGTATCAAGTATCGCTTCAGGAAACATTGGGCAGAATTCTATTGGTGTTAACATAAGATTTGTGTAACTTGCTGCACTCTGTGTGGGTCTGCCCCTGGAAAATGTTCGGAAACTTCAGTGGGTTCAAAACACTGCAGACAGATTGTTAACTGGGGCTGATTACAGGAATCACATAACGTCCCTGGTACAGCAGCTCCATTGGCTGCCAATCCATTTTCAAGCACAGTTTAAAGTATTGGTTTTAATCTATAAAGCCCAAAACAGCTTGGGACCAAGCTATCTTAAAGGCCACATCTCCCTTTATGAACCTGCCTGGGTGTTAATATAATAAGGAGAGGCCTTTCTCTCAGTACCACCACCTTCACAGGTATGTTTGGAGGTGAGACAGGAGAGGGCTTTCTTTGTTGCTGCTCCCAGACTCTGGAACTCCCTCTCACAGGAGGCCAGGCTGACTCCCATCTATGCTGTCCCTCCTGCAAGCAGACATAGACCTTTCTCTTCAGGCAGTTCCCCCCTTAATGACACACCTGAATGGCATTTTTGAACAGATTGTTGTTCCTTACTGCTTTGAATGTTTTTTGTTACTTCTTTTGTTTACCGTTTTTACGCCATTTTTAATATTTATATGCTGTATACTGTTTTTAGCTTTAAATATTGTTTTTTATGATGTAAACCACCCTGAGTCCGCTATAAAAAGAAAGGAGAGGTAAAATATTTTAAATAAATAAATAATAAAAATAAAAATTAAATAGTTACAGCTAACTGATGAGATGCCAGAGCACAATCAGGCTTGTAACCATGCATTTAACCATGAATGTGCCCTGGCACTTCATCAATTACCTGCAGATTGTGGAAAATTATTCATGCCTTATGCAAACACCAACAGAGTTCTACCCAAGAGAAGAAAGTGAAGTTTCTCTAGATAAAGAAACTTGTTTTGAAATACATTGGGGAAACTCTATTGGGTGAGTCTGAAGTAAAGTAGTCCTCTTTCAAGCAGCTCTAGCAAGAAGTGAAGAATTTCTCTAGATAGTTAAACCTACTGTGAAGTCATTGTTGTTGTTGTTGTTGTTGTTGGTGGTGTATTAAAATGTTGCTTGCAAAAGTTGTTTTGAAATACATTGGGGAAACTCTATTGGGTGAGTCTGAAGTAAAGTAGTCCTCTTTCAAGCAGCTCTAGCAAGAAGTGAAGAATTTCTCTAGATAGTTAAACCTACCATGAAATCATTGTTGTTGTTGTTGTTGTTGGTGTATTAAAATGTTGCTTGCAAAAGAAAAACAGCAATATGTGTAAGTATGTATATGCCTGTCTAGAAGCTATGTTTTTGCCCCAGAAGACAACTAATTACAGTTGTGTGACCTGACTGAGGGCCAGTTGATGTACAGACATAGGAACAACTGTTCCAAATGTGTTCACATCCACTACAGTGTGCAAGTCAAAACAAATCAAGTCAAATTATATTGCTGCCATATCCAAGTATAATATGAAGCAAGAACAGACATTTGTGGGACATTTATATTTCTGTAGACACCTCGGAATCTTTTTAAGAAGAAAGGTGGGATATACGGTAAATAAATGGTTTGTACATAGCTGCATCCCCTCCCTCTGTCCGCGATAATCCTACTATTGATACACCCCTTGGTAATGTAAGCAAAATACTTAAAGAGAATACTCTTTAGAATACGTTTTCCAGTGCTAAGTCCCTTGAAGTAATATGGAGAGTGTGAGACTAAATCATGTAGGTATAAGTGCTTTCTTTCCTGAATGATGTGTTAAATTCACGAGTAACCCAAATGATAAGCAGCAGTAGGTGAGGGTGTAACATGCATATGAAGAATTAGAAGAATATATTGTTACAATATATTCATAGGTGATAGAGATGGTGAGGGAATGCATGCAGAATAAGGCCTTAGAGAATGTCCCTTCAAAAATACAGTAAAATGGAGATACAGTATAGCCCTTCTCTTGGAAAAAACCCCCATACACTGAGAAACCTCTTCATATGTGTAGGGAGATAACACCTCGGGCCAGTCCAGAAATGAGGTGCGTGTGTAGGTGTTTGGTCTCCTTTCCTCACACCCAGACTGCAGAAAACACCCTCACACCCCATTCGGGACCAGCCCTGGAAGCTCCAGTTGGCAAACTGTGAAAGAAAGGAGCGCCCGCCCGTCCTCGCTCCCGTCCGGGAAGAGCGCGGGAAGAGCGACGCTGTGAGGAGAAAAGAGGCGGAGGCGGCGCTCTCCCGGCTCCATCTGTCCTTCTTCCAGCCCCTGGGAAGGGAGGGCAGGGAGCGGCGGTTGCTGGTGGGAGGTGGGGAGTGGAGGGAGGAGAGGCCGGCGAGGCAGGCCGCCTGAGGAGGTGTCGGTCGGTCGCTTCGCTGGCTGCTCTGCTATGGTAACGCTCGCCCCCATCCCTCTTTCTCTCTATCCGTCCCTCCCTCCTCCTCTTCCTCATTCGTTTCCTAAGGGCCAGGAGCTACAGACGGCATCCTATACAGCCAAGTCTGCTTATTTATTTATTTACTTATTCTCTCCCCCCCCCCGCCCCAGCAGCAGCAGCGACGGCGGCAGCCGGGAAGAGGGGGAGCAGGTGGAGAGTTGAGAGACTGCAGTGAAGCTGCCCTGGAGACATGGCGGACCAGTGCCTCTGAATAAGCGGAAAAAGAGGGAGAGACTTTAACAGAGGGAAGGAGGGGGGGAAGAGAGAGACACCGACCCCTTGTCTCCCCTGGCGTCGTCCTCTTTCCGCAGCGACAGCTATGCCGGGTTGAGCTAGTAAGAAGCGGAGCAGCCGAAGGACAAATGGTGCATCAACCTTGGGGGGGCTCTGAACTCCTTCCCTTCCTCTCGACATCTTAATGATGCATCACGTCCTCTCCCCTGGCCTTAAGCCGATGTAGCTGTCTGCTTCTCAGGAGCATCCCAGGGAGAACTGCCATCCACCTGTGCCTGCGTCCATCCATCCATCCATCCTTTCCTCCCCTCTATCCACCTTCTTTCCATCTCTTTCTCCTTCCTTCCTTCTGCCACTCCCCACCCCCACCCCCCATCTTCCAAGGCTATGGCTGCGGAAGAGGTCTTGGAGACGGTGGATCATTATAAGACTGAAATCGAGAGGCTTACCAAAGAGCTCACAGAAACCACCCATGAAAAGATCCAGGCTGCTGAATATGGGCTGGTGGTTCTGGAAGAAAAACTCACCCTCAAGCAGCAGTACGATGAGCTAGAATCTGAATATGATGTCCTTAAGCAAGAGCTGGAACAGCTGAGAGAGGTGAGTTAGCTTTGAAGATTTACTGTCATCCAGCACCCTCTCCATGTTATTCTCCCCTCTCTTTTATCCTTACCACACAGGACTTGCCCTCTACATTGAAAAGGAAAGGAAAGGAAAACGCCCTAAAACCTCCTCTGCTTAGCTATATTCTCAAAATCACAGTATTAGGTAGGGAACAATAATTTTGGTGACCAAACAATATGTGTGTAGGCCAAATATAGTTATTCTGGAGCAAAGGATGCATAAGATTGAAACGGTGAGGTGTGATTTATCACTGGACTCAAGGATCAACACTAACCCTATTAGATGCTTTAAAAAAGGATTATGGATGTGATATTTTAAACCTGCTGATTAAATTGCAGCAACACACAGCTGTTTATAAGAAGATCCTCTGCCTTTCAGAAACGTATTGCAAACAGTGGAGATTTTTGTAATAGCAATTGTAACAGGATGGTTTACCTGTTATTTGGAAATGGGTATTTAAAAGGAGACATTAGGGACACTTAAACTATATACTTTTTTATAACAGTATGCATTTGAATGAAGAGGATATGTTAAAGACATTGTGCTATCAATATGCTTGTTTTAGTTTAACCTGTTTGTGGCATCCACCATCTTTCCATCCAAATCTTCCTGAACCAATATGGATATATGATCTATGTCAACCAAGTGAGCCTGACATTGCCAGAGTGTTCCTTGATGTATAAGATCATGTATTGTTAAAAATTGTACTTAATCATTTGCAAGTCATTAAAGTATATTTCTTTCTATTAGTATTATTTGGGGGGAGGGGTATACTAGGCTGTCAATAGGCATGTAGGTAGGGTATCTTAGTCTATTAACCACCCAAGTTCTAAAACATGTCCATGTTTGTTTGAGTTTAGACATCACAATTCACACTTAAATAATAATAGAAGTCTAAAGGGTGAACATTTATACAAATGTAATTCTAAATACATACAGTGGCACTCCCAAATACAGTATACATATTTCTCCAAAATGTGACAGAAATCTCCATAGAAAATATACGCTTTCTGAAGAGCATTTTGCTAAGAGAAATATTTACATTATTTCCTGAACAATAGACATTGCTTCATCAATCCAAGTTTGATGTGGCCTTGTGCCTCGAACTTTCTGAATCTCAGTACTTGAGACCATTGAGAAACTGCTATACATTGAAGAAAATACACATCCAAGCAGTTAAAGGAACATAAATGTACCTTTCATTTCTTGGGCCATTGTAGCTGTGTAATCACACAAAAATGATGGCAGATTAGATCCAGGGAAGACTTATGGTGACTTGAAGGATGAATCTAAGATGGTTTAGCCACTGTGAAAGGATTGAAGAACAGTGTGGGGAACACCAAGAACACTAGAATGCTTGTTCCCCTGCTGGGGAGGGTTTTAAGAAATTTCAGGGGGCACAAGATTATGAGATGTTTATAATTTTTTAAAAAGTCAATGTAAATGCTTTTTAAATTTTCAGATTAATTTTGTTTCTGCTATTTCCCAAGGAACAAATTCTTAAGGAACAAATGCTATTTTCAAAGAACAAATTAATATTATTCCTGCTATTTCTACATTTTTATTACTTTATTGTGATAACATAAACCATTTGTGCTCATTTTTATTAAGTTTTTGTACTAAGTTACTGTCTTTAATTTAACATTTAAATTACAAATCCAACTTTTTTTTAAAAAGTGGCGAAACGATGATAACAGGAAATCTAGAAAAGCATGAAGCTGTCATGAGAAATAAAAAAGGAGGCATGCTGACAAGTTTGGTGACCACTAATCTAGAGGAATCACTGGGCAGATTTGCCCTAGAAATGGCTGCCATACTTTGGACATGAGACAGGTGACTGAGGAAGGATTCAGTAATGTTCTTATTCAGTGGCAACTACCAAGTAATCAGGGTCTACTATCAGCACTTGATTTCATGAAGCTTGATGCACTGTTAATAAAATGCTATGAAGAAACTACCAGCTGTATGTAGTTTTTATTTTGAAAAGATTAAAGGCCAGCATATTTCACAGAGATTGTATCAATGGTACCTGGCAGTAGTATAGCCGGGAATTGTGTTCTGAGGTCAGGACTGCACTTCAGTCTTAACTGCCATTGCTTCTCTGAGGAACTCTGGGAATTGTAGTTTTGTGTGTCTATGTCACAGTTAATTCTTAATATTTACACAATGCTACAATTTTTAATATGTTTTGGGGAAACACTTGACAATTAATATTGTTTATTAATCAAATTACTCAATTAACATTTTTATTGATTAAAATTAGCCATAATTGTTGTAAGCCGCCCAGAGACCTTTGGGTAGTGTGGGCAACATATAAGTTCAATAATAATAATAATAATAATAATAATAATAATAATAATATATTCAGCAGGATATTGAAAACATATATATTTTAATACCGAGAGGTAAAGTGGAGACTGATTAATAAAGAAACATTTCTTCAACTTTCATAATCTCCTAGGAGGGGGCTTGTGGAAACCATGAGCATCTTTATTTCATTTATTTCATTTTTAGTTTAGATTTTCTTCAGATATTTAGTTGGGCCTACATACAACTATAATCAATCAATTGATTAAAGAAATCACAGTTGATATGTTGTATGAACTTTAATTAGGCGATGAGACTGTCCTGCAAACCTATACCTCATTCCATGGAAGTAGGCATGCTTAGGACTGTGGTGTTGCCATAGCGTAAATTTACAACCAGTAACTTCTGGCATAACAAACTCTGAGGAAAAGTAGAATTGTTTGGAATGTGATCATTTTGAAAGAAGACTTAAATTAAATTAAAGGACAGAATTGCCCATGTTGCTTTGCATAACGTAAGTCCTATCTTCCACTCTTTCATCATTTGCAAGTGAAGAGCTTCTCAAACACACACCAAGCTAGAAGGTGCACTACAGCAGTTGTAGTTTGGTGTTAGTTTGAGCTGTTTGTATTTAAAACAAATAAACTGGTATTTTGTGCTATAAGGTACAGTAGAAGAGGAAAAATTACAATCAGTGACCTAAATAAGGATTTGGGTACCAGTAAGTAGGGCAAGTACTGTATAATGCCTGCAGCCTTGGATTAAGAGCATTGTCTGGGAAGAAGTGTAGGATCATTATGTTGAATGTATGTTTTCAAGGAATTGGGCCAATTAGTTAGAAGGTAAGCAGGCAGCTGCTGTTTTGCTGAACTTACAGCTTTAAAGGTTGTGATGTGTAATAAGTAATACTTGTAGGTTTATGGCAGACTGGATGAAATGCAGGATCTTCAGGAACTGATAACAACTTGCAAAGAATCATAGAACCATTAAGTTGGAAGGGGCCTATAAGGCCATCGAGTCCAACCCTGTGTTCAATGCAGGAATAGACAACAGAGGATATCTGTCAAGTGGTTGTCAAAATTTCTCTTGAATGCCTCCAGCAGCACTCACCATCTTTCAAGGTAATTGGTTCCATTGTCATACTGCTCTAACAGTTAGGAAGTTTTTCCTAATATTCTACTGAAATCTGGCTTCCTGTAACTTAAGCCCATTGTTGTGTATCCTGCACTCTGGGATGATCGAGAACAGATCTTGCCGCTCCTTTGTATAACAGCCTTTCAAGTATTTGAAAAGTGCTATCAGTCTTCTTTTCTGAAAAAATAATTTATTTGAGAAGTCATATTATACAACAGTGTCCCACAGCACTGCAAGTTTGCCCATCTTTCTTTTCTTCTTGAAACACTTTTCTGAATAGGTAATGTATCCCATGAAAACTAAAATAGAGAGAATTGTAACAGAATGCATTTGGGCAGCCCCCAAAGAACATAACACTTCCTTTTCCCCATTTGGAATTCTGTAGTGGAAGAACACCCTTCTTTCTCTCTAAAAGAGATCTTTGTGGTCTTGCAATATCAAAGCCATTACAGCCATTCAGTATATGCAGTACTTCCACATGATAAAGAAAACTGCAGTGTTTCAGTGGCCTGAATGCAATACAGCACCTACTGGACTTGAATACAAGCAACTTGGCCATAGTCACTAATCTGGGAACAGTAATTTGACCTGCTTTATGAGGAAATGTAAATTATCAGTTCTAGGTGGACTCATGTTCCCTCAGGAGGAAGAGGTATATAATCTGTTGATAACCCTAGATTGATCAGCATCTCTGGACAGCTAGGAGTGCTCTTTTAATCTATACCAGACAAGCATGTTACAACTACTGTATTCCTAAACAAGGATACCTTCAACATTGGTGCCCCCTTCATTTGGTAACTACATGGTTAAATTATTTCAGAATGGACTAAGTGTTCAGCCCCTAAGGCTGATCTGGAAGCTGCAGATTGTCAGAGCTGAATTGCAATTTATATCCTGCATAATTAGATTTTATTGTAAACCGCCAGAGAGTGATTTAGGTTCTTTTTTGTTGTTTAGTCATTAAGTCGTGTCTGACTCTTCATGACCCCATGGACCAGAGCATCCCAGGCCCTCCTGTCTTCCACTGCCTCCCGGAGTTGGGTCAAATTCATGTTGGTAGTTTCGATGACACTGTCCAAGCATCTCGTCCTCTGTTGTCCCCTTCTTCTCGTGCCTTCCCGCTTTCCCAACATCAGGGTCTTTTCCAGGGAGTCTTCTCTTCTCATGAGATGGCCAAAGTACTGGAGCCTCAGCTTCAGGATCTGTCCTTCCAGTGAGCACTCAGGGTTGATTTCCTTCAGAATGGATAGGTTGGATCTCCTTGCAGTCCAGGGAACTCTCAAGAGTCTCCTCCAGCACCACAATTCAAAAGCATCAATTCTTCGGTGGTCAGCCTTGTTTATGGACCAGCTCTCACTTCCATACATCCTTATTGGAAAAACCATAGCTTTAACTATGCGGACCTTTGTTGGCAAGGTGATGTCTCTGCTTTTTAAGATGCTGTCTAGGTTTGTCATCGCTTTCCTCCCAAGAAGCAGGCTTCTTTTAATTTCATGGCTGCTGTCACCATCTGCAGTGATCATAGAGATCAAGAA